TCTCCATTATGGATTAATATACCCATTAAAAGTCCAATCATTACTTTGTGTCTGTTAGAACCTGATATGACAGATGAAGTAATGCCAACATTGAGAGATATGTTATTGCTTTTTTTGTATTGGTAATAATGTGTGCTTTATAAATGGGGATGATATGCCCCCCTCTGAAGCAAAACCCAATTCTTTAAAACACTGAGTTGACAATATTTAATTGCATTTGACCCCCCTCAATCTGAAGTACTTTCTGACTGACAGTTTTTACAAACTGCATCATTTTGAGGTTTATCAGCAGTGTCATCCATAGCGATGGCATTGATTTTGTTTTACAGTTACACCCTTGCCTGACCACTCCAGGACATACAGATTTGGTTGAGCTGCAGTCCACAGATTCTGATTCACTACGCAACTTCAACACTGGAAGTCTTTTTTACTGTTTAGATTTCTGTTATCTGTTAATTATAAATCACAGAAAAATAGTACAAAGAGAATGAGGATGATCAAAGTCTCAGCTATCGTCTGAGATGTCTATCATGTTTCTTAGGCTGAAGCACTTATGTGAATTTTGCTAAACGCTAAGAGAACAAATATTCGTTGCTGATGCTTATAATGCCACATTTAGTCTATTCACCACTGTACCTTGATCTTTTACCATGAACATTTACCTGTCATCACAAAAAGAAAGGAGAAAATCCCCATGCAGTTGAATAAGATGAGGATTCAGGGGGTCATTAAAGTTGAATGAATATCCATTTATTTGTTAAAAGAAACCACAATGGAAAGTACTACATCGAGTCACACTGTCACTTTTATACTTTAGAAAGGTAGAAAAGATTTGTTTTATGTGTGCGGAAGTAACAGTTGATCTTATTTGAACCAAGATTCAGCTTCCCTCTTATTGTGAAGCCCCTGCTGCGCAAAGGAGAGCAAGCAGACTTCAGATACTGCTTTGCTAAAGAAACCACATTCTCCTGCTAAAAGGACTCCCTCATAAAAGGGGATGATCCAGAGTCCACTTTTTCAGAAGAATAAAAAGCAATGCCTTTTTTGAAGGGTTAAAAGTTGCGTTTCGCTCTCCGGGTGGGCTTGTCTTCTGTTCTGCTTCTGGAGTGTGATATCCAGTGATTTTCAAAGACTTTCAAAGACTTATTATTGGGATCCCCCCCACCCCTCCACACCCCCCAATTTTTCAAATAATCAAGTCCATGGGGAAGTGGTTGTAAGACCGTAAGGCCAGCACAGCCATATCCAAATTAAAGTTGCAACAAAATGGCAAAGTTAAAGGAATGGAATTAAGACTACTTGAAAGCGGGAAGATGCTAGATCGTTCATCCTTGCCAATGTTAAGCGCTGATATAGCCTAGATATGCAGAAGCTAGTGTACAGGTTGATGGAAAATGAAAACTTAAGCATTCATCATTCCCTGGTGGCCACACCAAGCACACAGCAACCTTTTGTATGATGTATTGGCTCATCTTGACAGCAGTCCTTGTTGTTTATGTGCTTACAACGTGGGTGATATGAGCGTCTTATCTGTGCTTAATGCTCTTAGTCCGTGAACATATTACTGTTTGGAGGGGGGGGGGGGGTTCGTCTGATCAAACAGATGGTTTGATTAGGAGAAAATTGTGACCAAGAAACATTGTTTTTTTTCTTCATCCTTTCTTTTTTTGCCTCTTTGCTGTGTCATAGCACTATTAGTGGGTTGACTGAACCACAGATGAGCTATGCTTTCCAGAATCAAAATTACACTGGAGCCATTTTTCATCTTGTGGAACTCTTCAAAGGCAAAGAGATGGGCCTGTTCACTTTCCTTATTTGTCCTTGTCTGCTGGAGGTTGCCGCTGGCTGACATAGCCTGAATTTAAGTGGACATCAATCTCGATAAAGAGGCAGAGCCCAGAGTAAAATTACCTTGTCCATTTTTTTCAGCAGTTTACCGAGACACAGCAAATAAGCAAGTTCCATTTAAGACACTGGACCATTAAGCCTTTATAGTGAAAAAAATACATGCATCGTAGTGTTGGTTTACATCATGGTGACTTTAAGTTTACCACATCTTTCTCAAGCAAGTGCCGTTTGTTTAAAAAAAAAACGCACTTCAGAATAGGACAAGATGCATCTAATTAAATGGCTGTGTTGCACTGATAAGATTTTCCCTGGCTGGCCAGCAGCCTATCTCATCACTGCAAAAAAAACACTATGTCGGGAAAATTTGGCTCAGTGTGGCAGTAGTGTCACAGTGGACTGGACTTCACGTACTTCTCATAAATGAGAGTCATTAATTCTCCATGTGGGTAGTTTTTCACATGCAATGCAGGGGTTTTTCCTCCTCAAGGAAGGGGCCATACCAACCCAGTCAGCCCCAATTCTTCTGCTTTCATTTTTCTTTGTCTTCTTTCCTGTCTCATATCTCTGTCTGCTTACAGACAAAATTCCAGCTGTGTCCTTGTTTAGCCCATCTGATAAGTTACAGATGTGATAACTGTTGAGAAAGATCACCACTGCTGTTGATGCTATGGGTTTCTTTATTTCTATTGAAGTGAAATGTCGGTTGTGCTCAGTTGGTTTTGTTGACTCGAATTTTCAATTTTTAATATCATGCTCCAATCCATGTATTTCTTTAAACAGAAATGCTTTGTGCGCTTATATAACTGAGGCAGCTGAATAAGTTTACATCGTTATCTCATGAAACAAAAATATATGGAAATGCACATTTCAGATTATTCCCACGAAGTAAAGTATTTACACAAAACTGAATCGAATGTTGACTGATCGGGATCACAGCCATCAGGCATGATGTTAAAAGTCTTACGAATTTCGCTTGATTGTGTCGATTCAGTTATTTCTTTCCATTGTCACAGACCATGCATCTGCACGGTGACGCCTGTTAGGAGTTACACTAAAAATAACATTTGGCACGGCAACAAAATGTATATCAAGATCTCAGGAAGCATCACAGACCATTTACAATTCACGCTTTAAACAAACAAAAGAGCTCTTCAAAGGCTCAGACCAGACTTCAACATAATTGTGAAGGAAATGGAGCCTGAGTTGAGTGAACCTTTAAAAAAAAAAAAAGTATTTCTTCTGCCACCAAGGATTTCAGAAGAATAAACAGCTGATTTAAAATTCAAATTTTCTTATTTTTTGTTAGCTTGATTAGATATTTTGTATGTTGTATTGATCTTTTGTTTTTCATTAACATTTTTCTTTTTTTTTTTACAGTTACGATGTATTAGGATCTTATCTGTTCTTGTTTCAGATTTGGAATAAATGGGGGTGTGGTGGTTGCTGGTTCAAAAATAAATAAAAACAAAAATCAGCAATTTGCTCTCTGCATAAATAAACCTTTAAAAAACTACTGGGTTACTTTTCTTCTGCTTTCTGGAGTGTCCAGATGACACGATGAGCTTATTTAGCCACAGAGTAATTGTAGTCATGAGTCACGACTCCTGACGGTCTGTCGGTGAGGTCCTGTCCTGGGAGGTCTGTGGACGGGGAAACCTGTCCTGACTCACTCACTGTCTCCAGATGAGTTAGTGGTTTGATGATGCCAAGTTCCCTGTGGCATGCCATTAAACTCAGACGTGCCATTAAAGAGAATTATTTATTCATTTAATACAATATTCAGTGAGGTTGAGAGCACTTTAGCAGTTTTACATCAATATCAATATACTCTCTTAACCTCTGGTGTAATTGAGCTACTGTGGATTCTGCACTATTGACATTTGTTTGAGTTAAATATTTTGACCGCAACTTCTTTTTTTAAACCTGCCAGAGGCCCTAATTGAAAATGATGAAAACAAATGGAGACAATAATGGCATGTGTCTCATGTTCAACAAGGCCCTCTGGCTTGTGTCCTCGCAATTTAATAAACCATTGACCTTCCTGCAGCTGATATGCTGGGCTTTCAATTCTTTTTTATTAAATCAGTGACTCATCAGCAGTATTTGCTGTTTGCTGGCTTGATTGAAATGATCTGCATAAAAATTCAATTTCCTGCAAGAGATATTTATGCTTCCCAAGTTACTTTCAGTATTGTGATAAACAGACAACTGACATTACTGTACATTGATAATATGATTGATTGGATATTATTCTGAATTTGCCCCCTCAATAAGGTGTTGAATAAAGCATTTATTTATTTCTATTTCTATTGAAAGGCAAATAAGTTTGATGCTTGTAAAAACAAGAGTTAAACAATTACCTTTCAATGTTTTGTTGCTTAGTATATTAAATATTTAAAGATTTTCAATTATAGGGTGACATCTTAATATATCCTTTTGTTAATTACTTAATAAATAGGCATGCACATCCATGCAGTATTAAAAGAATTATAAGTACAAGTCAGGGATAAGAAGATTAGCACAGTATTCTCTGTGGAATCTTTATTTTTCCTTTTTTTCTGCCTGCATAAGCTTAAAGAGCCCCAGCACAGTGAGGTTTGAGGGGGGAGCTATAACCAGTTTCATAACCTGTGTGCAGCTTGTAAATCCACATAAAGCACAAACGTGCAAGTAGCTATACTTAAAAGTACCAGACATATTTTGTGTAGAGAATCTGCACACATAATCCACACACTGAACTACAACTCTTTAGAAATAATGTTTTTGTGACCAGGGCTTCTAAATATCTGCCATGTGTCAGTTTCTAAAATAGCTTTTTTTCAGTCTACTATGTTGTTTATTCCAAGGTACTGCTGTGTGGACTGTAGCACATTTCTTAGATCGCGAACAGGTCCATACAAAGCTGTATCCTTTAACCCTAAATGCAAGTCTGCTCTAATTTCATGAGTCGGTAAGCATCCTCGGGTAAACTTGGTTTAGCTGCTGTATTAAGGACTTTTGTGTATTACATAATTAATTAGAGAGAGAGATCAAGTGTTTTTTTTAGCTAAATGTGTGTGTCTGTTTGCACCTCTTCAGTCATCCTACTAACATTGTGTTTTTCCTTTCTCTTTCTCTTTTTCTTTTCTCTTTTTTTTTACCTTCTGGGACAGATGCCATGCTGCTGGTAGCACAGAGGCTAGAAGGGCCTTTCAACATTGAGTCTGTCATGGATCCCATTGATGTCAAGATTTCCGAGGCCATCATGAATATGCAAGATAACAGTGCCCAGGTCTCATACAGGGTAAGTCAATTAATTTCCCTAAAGAAGAAAAGTAACACAGTAGACAGGCTGTTCAAGTCCACCATTTTGACAAAAAGAGGAAGGAGCCCGCTGGACATCACATTGGGCTTTGTCTAAGGTGTGTAACGCAACACGTTCTAATTATGTCCAAGTTTAGGCCTTGTGTTTGAATTATATGTCTCATTTTGGTCAGATAATCTTAGTTCAACTAACAGTAGTTAATGTGTTTCCTGTGTTTTACTGCATTTTTCTTTGACCACAAAATTGTAGTCAAAAAGCAAAAAAAAAAATGTAGGTGGTTGTGAGGAATATTTTTTCTGCCTACACTGATTTGGATGCCAGTTCCCATTCAGAGCTAAATGCTCTGTTGGCTTTCCCATGCAACAGATGCAGTTTTGTTTATGGGTTAACTATATGCTGTGTTTTCCCAAAAGCCTGTAAAAAAACAAAACTCTACAACCTTAAATAGCGTCGGTCACAGCTCCTAGCTGACTCACCTATCAGTGTGGTTACTTCAACTTGACATAGAGCACTGTCACACCAGTTGTGTGGGGAGAGTGCTTCACAGGACCTTAAAAAACTGCATGTTTTACCCTATTTTCTGCATCCAAAGTAATTCAAACTGCTGACAGCTGGGTGCCCATGTTTTTGTAATTGCAGGTTTTTCAAGGTTGTGGTCAGCCCAAACCCGCAGGAATCACGAGGTCTGCTCGCGGTGCTTCGGATGTATTCAACGCCCGTTTCAGACCTTACAGCCCGGAGGAGCGGCCTACCACTGCAGCTGGCACCAGCTTAGACAGACTGGTAAGGACATGAAGCTAGTGCTGCTGTTTTCAGACCAGACACCGCTTTATCGTATGCATCATTTGTCTCTCTGTCTTGACACCGTTGATTAAAGCTGGTGATTTGCCACCGTAAGCCTCAGGAGCCGGAAATTAATTCTTTGTACTTGTCCTCCATTCAGACCCCTCTATCGATTTGTGTTTGTTAACGAATCAAGAGCTTTTCCGCCAAGAGGGCAGCGGAAGAAGGGCTGCGATCAGTGCCCTTCTCAAGTCTGTGTACTTGGCAAACAGTGGAGAAAATGGAGGAGAGGAGATGGATAGTTTGTGAGGCTGACCATAACCATTCCTGCCCAAAGCGCACTTTATTTTCTGTCAGATCATCTGTTTGTTTGTTCATGAGGATTTTGAAACATGGATTTTTCTCTTGAACAACCTTCAAACTTAAAATGCTACATCAATTCAGCTTGGAGACAATTCTCATCATGGATTTCCTTTGTATTCACATTCATGCGCCTCACCTTGGGTGATATTTATAGGTATTAGCTGCAACACGTTCAATCAATCTTAATGTTTTGTGTCCAAAACATTTAGGTGCATAATGAGGATAACAGCCTCCTCCTGCGATTTCTTTGGCTTCTGAATAATGCAAAAATGAAATTAGATTTGTTTGATGCAATACCATTTTTTTCACAATCTAATTAATTCCAACTTCACCTTTGATGTCGTTTCGCCATTTTTACCTTTATGTGTCCATCATCTTTTTCCCTCCACCTATTCAAAATTAATGAATGCCTGTTTTCCTGCTTTTATGCTGCAAACCAGCGGATTGTTTGGAGAACGATGCAGCACAGTGTAAGATTCAATAATTTATTCTTGGGTTTTTTGTTTTTCATATCTATCGTTTTGTGATGTTTAATGCTTTAAGGCTGGAAAAAGATATACATTTCCATGCTGTCTGAATTGGAAGTTGTTTTTAAGTAATGTATTCCCTGTGAACATGCAGTTAATCCCAGTGGTATTGAGCATATGGAATTAGGCAATATGTTATTTTAAATGAGATCCGATGCTACATAACAATGATTTTTGTGATTGTTTGGGTGTTCTCACACAGGAGCCAATACTGTCAAATTCTGAACAAATCAGGCATCATTGGGCAGATGGTATCTCTTGGCAGGTCAGGACTCTTAGAGACCCCATGTTGAGCTCCTTTCATCTATCATATATAGCTGACACTCATCATATTCCAGAGTTCTCATTGCTAACAGAATCTGATGAACCCATTTTAGCTTTTTAATACTGTAAAATGTACATCCTGTATAGTTGATATAGGTGACAACAGCTCATTTATTTATGTACAGTATCAAAAGAATGTACATGACATCAACTCCCAGTACCAAGGGGATTTCTTTCTTTTTGTTGTGCCTCTACATACAGTACATATCAAAATGTGGTTTATTTATTTATGCAGCTCCATTTGTCTTCAGGTTAAAACTGAATGTTGGAATGTTTGATTGTTTTAGATGTTGGAGTTCTCCATGAGTGTTTGAATGCTTTTAGGATTTTAGTTCAGATAAAAAACACCCTAAACAATCATATTACCTCCATTTGATTTTTTACAATTTTATTTTCAGTTGAAGAAACAAAAAGCTGCATTCTTTCAGTTTGTTGAACTTGACAAACTTATATCCACAGCCCTAAACCATATCTGACTAATAGTTAGCCACATTTTTCCAGTGTCAGTTAAGTAGCAAAAATAAATAAATCTCTTTTTATGTTTTTTACAACTAGCCACAGTGGTCTTGGCAGCTCTGAGCCCAGAACACAGCAGCGGTGCTACCTGCAAAACACTGTTTCAGTGGGGCTTGTTTTGGTGGCCATACATACAACATCCAAAGAGTACAGTCAGTTAAAAAAAATAAAAATGAACTTTTCTGAAGGTCTATTAAAAAAATGACATAGATCACAGTTTGATTTAAAGCGCTATCAAACTTTTCAATTTTCATTGAGTGAGTTGCAACCAACCATCCAGCGTGTACCCGGCTTTTCGCCCACTGATTACTGGGATAGGCTCCAATACCCCATTTTTGGGAATAATACAATGGATGGATGGGTGGATGGATGGATGGATGGATGGATGGATGGATGGATGGATGGATGG